GTGAATGTAGAGGTTTGTATTGAAAATGGTATTTAATGCTCAAGTAGTGATTTCTATTTGTGACTTCAACCAAATGTCACCATCCAATACCTGGCAAGTGATCAGTTCCAAAAGACAGTTCAAATGAAATCAGGTGGAGCTTGTAATTAAGACATTGTGCTGCTTGTGTCTAGGGATAAATTGTTGTATCCCAATCAAAACACACTCACATCATTATTTTTTTCTTACTCTCTCCAATGACTTGATGACTTTTGGAGATAATGCTGACCTTCTGAGGAGGATGTGGCACCGAGTTCTGACGTGATATATGACGCCACTGCACTCCCACACCCACGTTAGAATGTAACCTTCAATCGGAAGACTAATTAACGTGTGCAGGGTGGAATTAATGTAGAGATGATCTTGGTGAAAGAAATATTTTTTAATTCTCCCTTATCGCAAGGATGGCCAAAAGGTAGATTCCCATCTGTCATGTATCTCCAACAAGGCATTGCCAGCTGGGGATCTACCATTTATAGTGTTCGTGTTTTAATGAAGGGGTACATTTGTGTGTACTTTTGGTTTTTGAATGCAGAGGTCTGCTTGTATATAATGTTGGTGTTTTAATACTGGGCTTTGTTTGTATGCAATGTTGGTGTTTATTGCCTGCAGTGTTGGTGTTTGATTGGACTGGTGTGTTTGGATGTACTGTTGATGTTTGAATGTGAATGCTGGGATCTATGCACATATACACATATGCAGTCACACACAGTCAAACCGATACACACTAACATACAAACACACACACACACACACACATTTATATACATACACACTGACACACACATATACCCACAGACAGATACACATACACATTGACACACACATATACCCACACACAGATACACATACACAAGTCTCAAGTCTATGCTTATCAATTAGGTCGGGGAGATTGGAATGAAGAAACATGCTTGCTACTTCCGTTAGCTCCACAGAGGAAGAAAAACATATTTCTACCCCCAGTTATACAAGTGGCAATTTCTATTATAATTGGCACTTTTAAAAGTGTCACAAATATGACACTAAAGGAACATAGTAGTTCTAACTAACTATGTAAACTAACTATTTATATGACCATTCCCCCAGTGTGCAGTAAAAATAAGTTTTGCTTACCTTTTAGACCTCACGGCACTGGTCTCTGTGCCCCCAGCCCACCTCTTTGGCTTAGATCATTTAGGGAAGCATTTGAAGGATTTGCTCAACAAATTGCTGTACTTCTCCAGTCAGCATCTCCACGTAGAAATGCATTGGTGCAATGCAAATCTATGGAAAGCATTCAGCATCAGCAATTTTTGCAGGACCGAACAAAAAGTTCCTCTAGTGGCTTTTGGAGTGAAAACCACTCGATTTGGTAATAGGCAGCAGTGTAAAAGTAGAGTTTACACTGCTGAACCTGCACGGACTGGCAATATGTCCCTACATTAAGCTGTAGTGATTCTGGTGACTACATTGTTCCTTTAAGAAAGGCTAGGTGGAACATTGAGATGACAGCAAATATTATAGTGTTCTTAATGAGTGCATGATAGCATAATAAACAAGAGAAGTGTCAGACAATTGAATAGTGAGTAAAGAAGCTAAAAGCCACCTTTGTCTTATATCAACATAGTACTTCTAAGGGTCTTGTGTGCTTGGTTGGTGCAGTTTGATCACCCATGGTCATAAGACACAATTCACTTTACCGTAACTACTTTATTATAACTTACAGTAGTGATGGTGCGCAACAACAAAAAATCGTATTCACTATGGACCTCTTATAGAGAGTGAAAGTAACCCTGTGTACATGAAATGAGGTGTTTACAGAGTGGAAATATTATAAATAATTGAAAACCAAACAGTGGTTGTGGTAGGACAAAGCACAATCTGTAGGTATACTTGCAAACATGGAAATCACTCTGACACCTATTAAGGAGACAAAAACAGAAAGAGAGCTCCTAGTGCAGCATAACACTTTTTATATTCATAGTTTTAAATATCTGAGACCACATTTCTATCAGTTGGCACTGATACGATTTTTTGTTGTTGCGCACCATCACTACTGTAAGTTATTTTATGTTCAAATCGTTTTACCAGGATTTGTTTTTGTTGGTTGCTGCATGTACTAAGATCCTTCTCTCATTTGCGCCATCCTATTTCTAATCGTTTTTTCTTTTGACTTTAATATAACTAATAATGCAGTAATGAGATGGATATTATTATTATTATTAGTTTATTATTCATATAGCGCCAGCAGATTCCGCAGTGCTTTACAATGGATGGACTAACAGACACGCAATTGTAACCAGACAAATGGACGCACAGGAACAGAGGGGTTGAGGTCCCTGCTCAATGAGCTTACATTCTAGAGGGAGTGACGTATAGTGACACAAAGGGTATAAGTAGGGGTAATGTAATATGTTGCTAGAAAAGTAATCACTAAGAACTTAGTAGGTTATTTTTGACAGTTGCAGGAGAGAAGTCATGGTGGTGGTGGTGGGTGGGGGGACAAAAACCCACCAACAGTTTAAATCATATGCTTTCCTGAAGAAGTGTATTTTCAAAGATTTTTTGAAGGAGTGGAGACTGGGTGAAAGTCTAATGGAGAAGGGAAGGGAGTTCCACAGAAAAGGTGCAGCCCTGGAGAAGTCTTGGAGGTGAGCATCAGATGTGGGAGTACGGACCGAGCGCAGGGGCCTCGACGGGACATATTTGTGTATTAGGGAGGATAGGTAGGTTGTAGCAGCATTATGTAGGGACTTGTAAGCAAGCACCAGAATCTTAAATTGAGCCCTATATCTAACTGGAAGCCAATATAGGGACAGACAGAGGGGGGAGGCATGGGAGGTGCGGGTGGACAGAAAAATGAGCCTCGCCGCCGCATTCATTATAGATTGCAGCAGTGTAAATTGGGAACACGTAAGACCACTGAGAAGGGGATATTTTGCAGAACCTCGAAAAATGCTATGATATTGTGTCTATATTTGTAAACATCCTCAATGTGCTTGCTATATATAAAGAGACAAACATCAAAACCATTGAGATTATACTCAACGCTGCTTAACTTCACACCTGCTGAGACGCGTTCTCCACTTTGGGATTCATTAGGATTATTTATAGGATCTCAGATGCCTAGCCAAATGGCAAATCGTTTTACGTTTATGGTATCCCAGTCCAGATCTGTTTCGTTTTTCTTGTGGGGTTTTTTATGTGAAAACTATGGATTTTAGAGGCCAAACAATAAATAAAAATAAAAAGATTCCAAATAAGTTTCCTGTAAAATGTTTAATTCAGGGTTGCGTTTATTTTTTTGCATATCTGGCTGTCTTTCTGATTAAGACCTTTCTTATGCTGTGGAACCCAGACAGACCAAGACCCATAGACAACACCTTTAACCCAATAGTTTTATCTACGTACCCAGAGAAACATGTTGTTAGATCTAAGCACCTTATATGTTATTGTAAAGTGTACTCCGGTGCTGCCTAGACTAACTTGCATAATTGTATGTGGTAGCGGCAGTCATCTTTTCTTTTATTCCTTTATCCTAACAGTACCCCTCAATCATAGCAGTAAAGTATACAAACAGTTTTTTTCCCCTTCCAACAATAGGATATTTGAAACAAATCACCCCATTTTACATTATTTCATCCAACCAATTAATTCATATTTCTATAAAAAACAGATGTATTCATTAAATTGGATATCATGGAGAATTTGACCCATACCGATGCTGGCTTGCAGTGATATGTGTCTAAGATGCATACAATACAGTTGGAGCAAGAGACTCTAAAAATTCATCTTTGATATTTACTTATTTCAAGCATACAACTGCTATGGGATTGGTAACATGCAGAATGTGATTTAGGATGTACATATTTAACCTCTATCAAGTCAACATCTTGGGGAAAATTCTTTCTGAAGCTCCAGTAGCTCGAAGAGGTGTGGATGCGAAAAGAAAAAATATATAAAATATAAATGGTAAAAATCATAAATATACAATTGGAAGTATACACAATACTGCTACCATTGCTGTAACAGCCTTTAGCATTTTTTTTGTGAAGAAAAATGACATTTTGGACATGTGTGGGTTGCGCTGCTATCACAATTAGTATTTATTTTAGATAAGAACACTCTATACTTCAATACCTATTAAATGCTAGTTTGCCTTTAAAAAACAAAACAAAACATGTTGATCTCTTTAAACGTATCTTTTTCCTCTAATACACACTGCTATTGCAGATAACCTACACAACACCTATTATGTATCATATTATATATGAACATAGTGTTTGATTTATTAAAAAAAACAAAAAACTAAATGGTTGCAAAACTCACCTGTTGCAGCCTGACGTGCCCAAGTTTGATACATATAGAGCAGTTTCCTACTGCTGCAACTATATGAAGCGAGCTGTTAAAGGAACACTGCACCATAACCACTACAGCACAATTTAAACTAAGTTCCTGTGATTTTTGTTTTTATCTGTATTTATTTTCTTCTTCTTTACAATTTTTTTCTGCTATGTCTTGGAAAAACACACACTACCACATACTGAATACTGTAAATTAAATACTGATAAATAATAAAATATTGGTTAGCTGAATTTGCATTATACTAACAGGTTAGTTGAATTCTAAGGTTAGAATTCAAAGTGAATTTCAAATTTAGGACAGAAATAGCCAAACTGGATTCTCTAAGTCTGCTATGCTTCTAGGTCAGCTACTTTGGCCTTACATTTGAACTCTCACTTTAGTGAATAACCTTTTTCATTATATGAATAATAAATTAAAGTCTCCAAAACATATCCATAAAACAGATAGACAAATAAAAAGATAAACAGATTAACTTCTAGGGTTACAATTTCTCATATTTATATTTTATATTCAGTTACCATTTTGGGTCACTTTATGACCTATTGATTTGTTTATGTAATTGAGAATGTGATTTAGAGGAAGCCCAATGCTTTTTTTTTAAAATTCTTTATTTATTCCAAGACACGACATCGTAAAACAACGCAATTACATCAAGATAGGGTTATGCATAAACAGGCATGTAAACTGTGTACAAGGCATTATTACAATCATGTGGTAGGTCCACGGTCCCGTTCGCCTATCTCCTGTAGCTAGGTACCTCTAATTGAGTTTACATTCCAACATTTCTCTTCCCTATGTATATTTAGGTGTCCCATCTGGTTTTATATAGTATGTAAAACAGTTAACAGATAACACACAGCATGTAAAATACTATCAATGTTTTTAAATAAACTAAAATGTTTAAATTGGATTGTAACTCCCTATGGAACAATGATGGTTGTTCTGCCCTAACAGTTACAATTTAAACTATACCATTCTAAAATGGAAAGACCCACTTAATTATCAACTAAAGACACGTTCTGCACCTAAAGAAGAACGCCACACCATACTGGCATACATTCTTTAGGGACCGTATTGTGATGTCAGCTAAATGCAACATTTGGTCCTTAAGGAGTTAAAACTAGACAACCTTCAATTGTATTGCTGTGTAATCCTGTCAAACACTCATAGACTAAATCATCCAAGCTTAGAGAAAACATGACAAGGGACAGGAAAGAGTGTCATCAAGAGGCACTTGAAATGGCATGTAGATTTAAAGGGACAATTTTAGCACCATAACTACCTATGTTGTACATGTTATAACTCAATCATCCTCTGTTCCTGTTCCCTTTCATGCCATTCATGCTGTTCATTATAGATTATTTAATTTGCAGAATGCTGCAGTAATATAACTATTCCCCCACTGTACGTCATCGCAGGAAGACTATTGTAAAAGTTATTCAGTAGCAGAATGCTAGCAAAGCTACAAGTAAATTCTTTCATGAAAAAAACAAACACAAGCCTGCCAATGAAAACTGCAGTATGTTTTATAGTTTCATTATAACAGCTAAACTAATATCCACTGAAAACAAGGTGAGACCAGGATTGGTCCAGGAAACGTATCGTGTCATGAAAAGAGAACCTGTGACTGCACTAATGTATTAAAAATGAATGAGTGGAAGAATGAATGAATGAAGCTATCTGATAATAGAAGCTGATGCACTGCATGAATTAAATTTCTGTTGGACTACCTATACTGTGCACTGTCTGATTTGCAATCCCATTGAAATCTCAGCTATGCCTACGTCAGAAATTGCAGAGTTCCAGCACACCGGGGGATTCACACTGGAATCACTGTCAATATCTCCATAATGCACTTATATATATTTTTGTGAAAAAGGGTCTACTTCCAACGCAAGTTACCGCTTTTCATTAAAAAAAAATCATTAATTCTTCCATGTTTTTGTTTTATTTCTATATTATTTATTAGTATTTATTTTTATCTCTGTTATTCAAGGAGGTGGATAGTTAAGTATCAATAGTTATTAACAAAAGGTTTTTATTCTATGTTCTCTGTATTGATAATGTGCTTTGAAATTATCTTACATTCTCCTATATATATATATATATATATATATATATATATATATATATGTGTGTGTGTATACTCTCCTCTGCGTATACTTGTGCAAAAGAAATAACATGTTTGATTAAAGAACAGGTGGCAGGTGGATTTCATTGTTCTGGTCATGGATAGATTGCCATACAAGGTTTCTCCTGTCTCCCTGTAGTCTGTTGCTTCCTGCTGCAGCCATTTTGGAAATCTCACCATTTGCTCAGTGGTTTATATATGGAAAGTTACTGTAGATTTGTAGTGAGCTGGCATGGAATGTAGTTGTTGTACATTCCTTTTACTATTTGCAGTGATGTAGCCATGTTTATATACTAGCCGTATCTATCTTTATTTATCATAAAACATAAATCAAGTTAAAAGATAAGCTAATAGAAGCTGAAATGTTTCCCCCCAAATTTGTGACAGATAATGGAAATTGAATGATGATTTGTTTTTAATCAATTGTTTTCATATTGCATTAGGCAAGGAATTCAGGGCCTGGCTGTACTGTCCTTCTAAACTCCATGACATGCATTTACCAAAAGTAGCAAGACTTTTTTTGAAACAATGTAGTTGTTTTAGGGATTCATTTTTAACACTGATTATTTTATTTATACTTGTTTATGTCTGTACAAGATAAAGGAACCCTAAGGCACCATAACCATGAAAGTGCGCTGTAGTGGTTTATAATGCCAGGAGTGACCTGGCATCTTTCCTGTAGTAAATATTCAAACCCTTTTAGAATGGTTTGACTTCTTACCTGGCAAGCCACACCCCATCTCCACTACCTCAGCTATAAGCTTATTGTTTAAACTTAAGGAGCTCATGGTTCTGTGACTGAGGTATTTGGAGGAAGAGAGTGGTGGCACCATAACTACTAAAGCAGGCTGGTAAAAAGTAAAACCATTCTAGAACAGCCCGGCAATCCTTGCACTATAACTTCTGCAGTGGGCTGTAGTTGTTATGGTACTTGGTGTGTTTCTTTAATTCCATACTGGAGCAAGTTCTAAATATCTAGTTAAGAATCTAAAATGCAATTTTTTTATCATTACCTCTGCTTCTGAGATTGAAGTAGCCTGCCTCATCAAAAGAGTAAGAATAATGAAATTTAAAGAAAACATCATGCAAATCAAGATACAAGTGGTTAAGATGGATGTTTGCATTGGCATATATACATGGTTGATTCATTCTGAGTAAATGCATAAGGGATAAGACAGTGTCTGCATTTTCAGAGGGGACAATGAACCTTCCTGAAAGCCACAGGTCTGAGCTGCATATTGTCCAAGCCACTTATGATTCCCAGCCTCCATTACCTCCTTTTCTCTGATATGCCCTTAAGTGATGGTCTAACAAAATTCACCAATTGTACACGTGTCCTCCATCACCTAGGTTACACCTCATCCTTCCCGTTCATTGCCATATTCCATAATTCAGAACTATAAATAGTTTGCCTTAATCAGTACACACAATTACATTATTTACACTAAAGAAGAAATATAGATAGAAGGAGTTTCAATTAAAGGGGACCTGTCCCTTCCAAGGATTTTATTATGTTTACTTATTCCATATATTTAACAAATATCTATTTACGAAAAATGAAATATTAAATGTAGAAATCCAGTTATAATATCTCTACCCTTGAACTGTGCAACTCCATCTTGGCCCCCTGTCAGTCATTGTGATAAGCCCTGATATATTTTTATATTTTTTTTTTTTTTATCATTTATTTAAAAAACAGGTTTTGCACTTGGCAGTGAGCATAGAGAGACCATCTAGAGAGGAGGAGAAACAGAAATAATATTGACTAAACTGGGTCGTGTTCTTCTTTGCATTAATTATTTAATTAATTATAGGGGATTTTTTTTTTTTTTAATTTTGCATTCACTGGGGTAATTTCCAAAGTAGTGATGGTTTCCCCTTTAACAATGCAAGCTAGCTAAGCTATTGGAAGAGTAGAATTTGTAAAAAGTAACAATGAATATCAGCAGGTGAGTGTCACATATATTTGCATTAGGCAGTAACTCACTTTAAACACTTTTGTCCTCATGGCAAAGCTTAGATGTAAAGTACACATAGCAAGGCTTCTATTTGAAATCACTTGAGTTGCCTTTTTTAGCTGAGTTTTTTTGGCCTTTATGTGACTGCTATTCCTGCAGTACAATACTAAGAGACTAGAAAGATACCAAAGAAGTCTGGCGCTGTTAATGCTGCTATATATTAAACAATGGGGATTCAGCCAGCCCTGCTACATACCTATTATCTGCGAGGACAGGAAAAAGATGCCCAGAATTTATAGTGCAGTTACAAGAAGAATCATATAAAAAAAAAAATTGCCTTTCAGAATCGGCTCTGCTGAACGCTAACTGTATCTCTGCAGCAGTGACCCTAACAAGAGCTTTCGATGCTATATAAATAAAAAGTACCATCTAAACGCATCTTATAGGGTGGATGAACAAGCCAGGATCCTTGGACACGGGTCAGTGAATACCTGATTATCCGGGAAATTGACCCAACCAGTGAATATTCGGTGTTTCCCTGCTATCATTTCATAAATCATGGTATAAAAGGACAAATACTGCTTAAAATGATAACGGCCTCATAATGCCCATCTATGCACCCATTGCTTTTAATATCTGGAAAAGAGACTGCTTGAAAGTTACTGAATCTTTACAGTGGATGCATGTTTATGCCTTTATCTTTACCATACTGCAGTTGTTTTCATATTTGGAGTATATGAAAGAATTGGGAAAATAATGTTGCTGGTCAATTTTAGAACCCCTCCCTGCTATTTTTAGAATTCCCCCTTCCTCTCCTCTGCCCGCTCCCCCCCACCTTACCCACCCCCCCCCCCTCCCCCCATATTTAAGCTCTAAATTGCATACATCCCTTTTGACGATATTTAGGATGATCAGTCCATATTTTTGTTCCATATCCATCTACCCTTCTTTTCTAGGAGCTCCATATTGCATGTGTGAGTGTATAACAGAGCTCCACAACAATAAAACTCACAGTAATGCTTTTTTAAACTACAATAAAGGTGTTCAGAAATCAGTCTGTTAATAAGATACATTTTATTTGCATAATTGTTATTAGTAAATTACCTAGAATTTCTCAGAACAGCCACCCCCTGCAATTAAAGTGTCCATTTAAAATGTTAGGAGGAATGATAGTGATCAATTATTAAATTACCAATACATCATTTTGTGCTGTCCAAAAGGGACCATACTGTTCATTTGACGTAACGGGTATTTGTCAACAATGTATAATCTATAGCCCTCTATCCATATTCTCCAGATAAACCTGTACCTTCCCTCAGAGCAGTATTATCAATAAGTCTACCCTAGGCAGCCACCAAGTTCCCACCGGTTAGACATGAGCTTTGGTACCATGAATTTACCTGTCTCCATTAACCATCCCTATGTGAAAAATTAGGGTGAGGGGAGGGCTACAAACTAGTAACCTGCCTAGTACCCCATAGGATATTTATCTCTCTCTACCTTATATACAAATATAACATAAAGGAATTCCAAGATTCTTGTATTTATGTATTTACAGAGAGGAATCCTGGGCATAGGATGGTAAGAGAACTTTCAAAAGGGTTGACGCAAACTGGAAAGGAGGTAGAATATTAGCCCCAAGATATCATAGGTAAATACCACTTGGTAAATACTAATTGGAGACATATCTGCATTTTACTAGCCGTCTTGAAAATTACTGGTTGGTAGTGCTTACATATGTTAATTGTTCATGTGATAC